ATTTTCCATGCTTATATTGTATCATTGATGAGTTATATCATCAGTAAATATTTGCATTAAATTACATAAAATATTATGTTTAAAAAGAATGTTCAATAAGTTGATTTCATATTCCACACAGATAACACACGACTATAGTAGTTGCAAGTTAAATGAAAACGTTTTGGTAGGCCTAAGTTAGTTAAGTTCTTCCCACTAATCGCAATATTTTATTTCTAAATGTACAATATATATTATATGCCCAAATTCTGTTTTGTTTTGTATTTTGTATTTTCTTCAAATGTGTAATATAATTGGACTGCTTTGTTATTTGGGTTTGTAACATGAATTGACAAGTAAAGAAATAGATCAAACAACACAGACACATTGACTGACCCGAGAATAATAAGAATATCTAATTGTCATTTTCAGATGACCTAGATGATATATTTCTGCTTCGGATTGCTCAACAGGTCAGACCGCATGATTACCTCATTTTGGGTATCATTCTTCGACTAGAATATTCAGAAATCGAAGCAATCAAATCAAGCAACCCACATAATTCTAAGGTCTGGGTATTCCTGGTGTTAAGAGAATGGATACAAAGACAAAACGAAAATGTAAACCAAAAAACTGTGCTTGCAGAGGCTCTTCGGGATTTGGGAAGAATGGACCTTGCAAGAAAAGTGAAGGTTGACATAAAACCAGGTATAAAGCTAATATATTATATTGATTATCGACTTTTGAACAAACTTTAAATGCGCTAGCCTTAGCAGTTAATAGAACAGTTCTTACCGAACAAAATACTGAATATGATTCTCTATGAATATAATGTTTTTATTTGTCTGTCTACATACTTTAAATACAAAAATTCTTTTTTTAAAGCAACGGGACAATATTTAACTACTGAAAGAAGCGATGTCGTTCAAATTGGAGAAGATTCTAACCTCACTGTACAAATAATTGTGGATCTTAAAACCCGGAAAACCCCTGTTAAGCTAGGTATGTACCAAATATTGAT